ACAGACGTGGGCCGCCTGCGCCCCCGGATGAGGGCGTGCTGCTCCCCCCCCCGGGATAGTATTCGCCCCCGTCGCCGCCTCCGACAGCCCTTTGCTCAGATGCAGGGGGCCACGTGCGAACCCTACCTAAAACGACACGAAGATCGGGACAAAATCGGATCGGGATAACTCGAAATCTATGAGAATCGGCGGGTTTGGAAGATGTATTGGGCGCCGCGGCCGCTCCAGAGTGTTCCGAACCCCCTGAGAGCGCTCCAGAACGCTCTGGAGCGATTTATCCCGATCCTAGCCCTGTTTTACTACCCCTGCCCCCTACCCTCCCCTCAGAAATCGTGGGGGATAGGGGTAGGGCTCGCATGTGGCCCCCTAGGATACTCTTTCTGGGGACCTTCGTGGAGCCACCCGTTCCACTCATGCGTCGATGCTGCGTCAAGCATCCGTCAACTTGAGCCCGCCTTGAATCAACCGGCCTCGAATCAAGCGCGAGTCGAACTTGAGTCGAGCTAGTCAAACTAGAGCCGAAGTAGATTCGAAGTAGGATCAAACAGGTCCGTTGGATGGGCTCCAGGAAGGTCCCTAGAACGAGCATCCGATTCTGCCCCCGCCCCCCCCTCCTGCCCCTCCCCCCTCCTCCCCCGACCCCCCCCCAGGGGCGGCGCACTTGCGCCACAGCCCCGGCGGAGGCCGAGACGTCCGCGCTCGGGCCTGGGCAGCAGCGCTGCGCTCAGGGGCGCCCCCCCGACACGCAAGGGAGGGGCCCAAAGATCCGACGTCGTGATTTTTTCAATACGCGGTCCCCCGAAGCCTCGACCCCTTTCCCAAGGACCGGCTTTTCGTCCCGAGCCGTTTTTGGACGGTCCCGGGGCCCGGCGAGGGCCCCTGGAGGCCGAAAATGGAGAAAAACCTCCGTCTTTTGATTTTTGGCAATGCGTTGGATCTCTGGGGGCCAGGCGGGCAGGGAGCGCCGAGTACGGGCGCTCGCAGCCAGAGCCGGCGCGGCGCCCACGCGGCGCTGCCGCGCCGCCTCCTGCCGGGCCTCCGACGCGCGAGGGGAGCCCGAGGCGGCCGAGACCCGAGGAGCAGGAGGCGGCGTCTCGCACGAGCACGGCCCCCGCCTCCCCTCGGCGCGCAGGGAAGGACGACGGGAGATACTCCAGGTTTCGTACTAAAGGGAGGGGGGTCTCATTTCGGGGGGGGGGTCTCTTCCAGGCTATCTTGGAGGGCCTAGGGGGGTCTGGGGACGGCGTTTTGGGGGGTTCTCCCACGGGGGAGGTCTGAAATGGCTTGTCTTGGAGGGTCCAGACCCTCTCCCTTTCATTACGAAATCTGGAGTAGGTGGCAATGATCGGCCTCCTGGGGCCCTCACCGGCCCCGGGACCGCCAGGGCACGACCCGGGATTCGTCCCGGGGAAAGGGGTCCAGGTCTCCAGGGGTCCCACGCCGTGGCAGGAATCGCGGCGTCGAGCTCTGGGCTCGTACAGAGCTCAGCGGCTGCTGACTTAAGCAGACACATGTGGGCCCCTTCCCCTGCAGGTCAGATTTCTGAGAAACTGGCTGGGGCTCGAATTCAAAAGGATGTCTGCAGTCAGGTGAACTCCAGCGAGGGCGTCCGATGCCCCAGCGCCAATTGACCCCGTCGGGGCAGGGACACGGAGAGACACAGAGACACAAACAGACCGGCCGACCGATCGACCGACAGACAGACATACAGACATACAGACAGACAGACAGAGCGACACAGAGCGAGAGAGACAGAGCGAGACAGACACCGAGAGAGCAAGAGAGAGAGAGGGGGAGATGGGCAGAGAGGGAGACGAAAGGGGGAAAGGAGACAACTCCCAGCAAACGAAGACAGGGAATTCAGCCCCGAGCACAAGACGCTGCGACGTGAGCATGCAGAAATGCAGACTGCAGTCAACGTGCTGAAAACATCTTCAGCCGATGCTGAAACTGCGTCAACCTCTGAACAGCACGCGCAACAGTGGCTGACGGTCGAAACCCCTGAGGGGGCACGACACGGACGGCTCACGGACCCAAATCCAGTTTGGACCCCGCTCCTCCGAGCTCACATTTTCAGGCGCGCTGCAACTGCCCGTGGGCCTGCTGAACAAAACGGCGGACCCTCCTGGCAGCTCTATCAGGACACCGAAGGGCCACCCAGCGGTACAGTCACCGTGCCACCACGAGAAGCGATGCTTGGGGCACGCAGGGAGCCCCCCTGGCCTCGGCCCACCTCGGCCACCAATCGATCCCTCGACCTGGCCCTGCAGTACGGCCCGAGACCCACGGCCCCTCCTCGTCTCCGCGTCTTGGCCGCACGCCGACTGCCCGGCCCTGCCGCCGCGAGACGGGCCGTGCTCAAACGGCAGCCGCGCGCTCCTGCGGCACCCCCGGCGCTCCTCGCCCTCTTGGCGGCCCTCGCCACCACGGCCTCGGCCATGCGACCCGCAGCGGGATCGGGCCGCTGAGGGCGCGCGGAGGGGGGCCACCCGACACGCGGGGGGGAGCAGGCAGGCGCTGCCCCCCTCGAGCCACGAGAGCGCCGGCGAGAGCCGCCCGACATGATGGGCCCATTTCCCACTACCACTGTCATATGTAGGAGGAGGAGGAGGCGGAGGAGCAAGAGGGGGAGGAGGAAGAGGGGGAGGAGGAGGAGGAGGAGGAGGAGGAGGAGGAGGAGAGGAGGAGGAGGAGGAGGAGGAGGAGGAGGAGGGAGGAGGAGGAGGAGGAGGAGGAGGACGAGGAGGAGGAGGAGGAGGAGGAGGACCTCCTCATCCTCCCCATCCTCCCTTCTCCCCTGTCCTACATATGGTAGCGGTGGTGGAAAGTTCGCCCATCACCCCACTTCCCCAGCCAGGTGGAGCGGCCGGGTGCCGCCCTGCCGAACTCTTTCACGAATCCACGCCCTCGCGGTCTGGACTCTGGGACGACATCCCGCGGATCCGCGAAACAACGTACCGCATCCGCGAGATCTTGGCCTGGGGGCCCGGCCCGCGAGGCCGCGGATACGGCTATGTGTTTCGCCCACAGCCCTGCTGAACTGCCCATGTTTGTAGGGCTGCCTTGGGCCGCACATAGGGCGAAGCCTGGACGCGGACAATATCGGATCGGGACAGATCGTGGATCTCTGAGATCCGGCGGTTCTGGAGGATGCATCGGCGCCGCGGCCGTTCCAAAGCGCTTCCGGGAACGCTACGTCAGCGTTCTGGAGCGATTTTCCCGGGCCTGACCCGCCCGAAGTCAGCCGAAGTCCTGCTGGGTCGCCGATGCTCTTGGGGCTGTCTGCGACCACTCATGGGCGGTTTGGGGGCACACTTAGGAGAACGCCTCGTGCCGTTTTGAATCAATCTCGGGCCGCTCTGGGGCCCTCCGAGAATCTCTTGGGCCGTCGAAGCGCTGCCCAATGCACCCCACAAGCAAAATGGGGACCTGGAGTGTCAGAGCAAAACACATAATTGCTCCACGGGGAAATCCCCATAGGTCTATATGTGCATGTGTGCATGCGATTGCGTATATGCATACATATACATACATACATATATATACATACATACATACATACATACATACATACGTACATACATACATACCTACATGCATGCATGCATGCATGCATGCATGCATGCATACGTACGTACATGCATACATACATGCATACATACATACATACATACATACATACATACATACGTACAGACACACATACATGCATACATACATACATACATACATACATGCATGCATGCATGCATACATACATGCATACATGCATACATGCATACATGCATACATGCGTACATGCATACATACAGACATACAGACATACAGACATGCATGCATGCATGCATACATGCATGCATGCATACATACATACACGCGCACATGCGTACGTACATGCATAGGTACATACAACCGTACTCACGTAGGTACGTACAAACATATACATCCATACATACATACATGCATAATCATAAAAATACACATACATACATGCATATATGCATGCATACATACATACATACCTGCAGATGTGCATATATGCATATATACATACATACAAACAAACATAAATACATACATACATACATACATACATACATACATACATACATACGTACATACATACATACATAAATGCATACATGCATGCATGCATGCATGCATACATACATGCATGCATATATACATACATGCATGCATGCATGCATACATGCATACACGCGCACCTGCGTACGTGCATACATACAAACATACAATCGTACGCACGTAGGTACGTACACACATACATACATCCATGCATACATGCATAAACACACAAACACACATACATGCATGCATACATGCATGTATGCATACATACATACATACATTACATATAAGTTCACATGCATACATGCAGGCATACATACACTCATACACCCAGACATACATTAACGCATGCTTGCATACATACATACATACGTACGTACATACGTACATACATGCAACCATACAGACATTCATGCAAATGCGTACATACATCTGTGTGCGCGTGCGCGCGCGTGTCCGCCACCTCTCAACGCCCCCAAAACCACCCAAACAACAACGCGAAACATTAATTCATCGGTTTGTGTTCGTCCTCCCTCTCCTCCTCCTCCCTCTCCTTCCTCCTCCTCCTCCTCCATGGTTTATTCACTCTCAATAACTGTTCCCTGTCGCGCCCCAAAGCCTGTCTTTACAGAGTCGCCAAGCCCCCGGCCAATCCCGGCCAACCACTCCGAGCAACGCAACGCGTGCTGGAAGCGAACGGGCACGCTCGGACTGAGTTTCCTGGCATCAGCGCTGGCAGCGCGATGACCACCGCGTGCGAGCGGGCACACACGAACTGAACTTCGTGGGAAAATGCTGGCCGTGCGATGTCCACCATAAGCGAGCTCGCATGCTCGGCGAGAGCTTCCTTCCGACAGCGCTGGCAATGCGATGTGCTGTACCCGCGGGCCGGCACGTTTGGAGTGCGCTTTTCGGCCTCAACGCTGGCAGCGCGATGATCATCAAATGCGCGCGGGCACGCCCGGGTTGAGCTTATCCGCAAGATTCTCGGCGGAAACGCCGGCACCATGAGCAAGCTGCCAGGCTCGGGAAGGCTGCCTGCCGACAGTGCTGGCGATGCCGACGAGGAAGGCGACAGCGAGGACGACGGCCACACGCCGCACCCGCCATGGCAGCGGGCTCGGCCCTCACCTGGACTTCCAGGACGAGCTGGGGGGAAAGGGCGAAGCGGGAGGAGGAAAACTGGGTAGTCGAAGCCAATCTGGCGCCAATCTGGCAGGCCCAATCTGGCAAACGGGGGCGATCTGGCGAGGGAGCCAACGCGAATCCAGTCTGGCGAATAACCCAAATCATCCAGTTTGGCAGGGCCAGATTGGCCCTTGGGGCCCAATCCAATCTGACAGTCTGGCCTTCGACTACCCAGGAAAAGGAAGAGGAGGAAGAGGAGAGAGAGAGAGAGAGATAACGGGAACAGCGGCCTACAGCCACGGCCGCGCCTGCGGCCCAGGATTGAGCGAAGGGCCGAGGGTGCCGTCGGCTCGGACGTCGCGGACGGTCACCAAATCCTGGGGCCCTGATTCCCGAGGATTTCTCACGCGAAACAGGCCTCCTCCTCTTCCTCCTCCTCCTCCTCCTCCTCCTCCTCACCATCCTCCTCCTCCTCCTCCTCCTCTTCCTCCTCCCCCTCCTCCTCCTCCTCCTCCTCCTCCTCCTCCTCCTCCTTTTGCTACCCCCCCTCCCTGGATGCTCTTCGGCAGAATTGCGAGAGTATCCCAAGCGAAAAAGGCCACGCAACCTAGAGACCTCAAGCAGGGCATCTCGGAACCCATTTCCGAGGATGATTCACGAGAAACCGGCCTGCTCCTCCTCCTCCTCCTCCTCCTCCTCCTCCTCCTTTTCCTCCTCTCCCCCTTCTCCCTGGGCGCCCTCGCCGGGTGCGAGGGTGTCCTGGGCGACACGGGCACCTCGGAGCCCAGAGCCCCAAGGACGTCTCACGCGAGAAGCGCCGGAACACTTCGAGAACCGCACCTTACCGGGGCCCAGAACTGCGTGGATGTCCCAGGCGACACGGGCCCGCGGACCGCCTTGCGATTGTTGCCGAGGCCCCGTGTGGTCTCACCCCGCGGGGCCTCGGATGCTGCTCCTCCCTCCTCCTCCTCTCCTCCTCCTCCTCCCTCCTCCTCCTCTCCTCCTCCTCCTCCTCCTCCTCCTCCTCGTCCTCCTCCCCTCCTCCTTCCTCCTCCCCTCCTCCTCCTCCTCCTCCTCCTCCTCCTCTCTCCTCCTCCTCCTCTCCTCCTCCTCCTCCTCCTCCTCCTCCTCCTCCTCGTCCTCCTCCTCCTCCTCCTCCTCACCTTCTCCTCCTCCTCTTCCTCCTCCTCCTCCTCCTCCCCCTCCTCCTCCTCCTCCTCCTCCTCCTCCTCCACCTCCTCCTCCTCCTCCCTCCTCCTCCTCCTCCTCCTCCTCCTCCTCCTCCTCCTCCTAGACTCGACATTGCGAAGAGGTTCGATCCTAATCGCCGACTCGAACCGCGGGGGGCCAGAACACCACCTGAGGTGCCTGGACCCCCCGACCGTGAAGAAGCCGCAGTCGACGTACTTCACCCGTGCACGACGGCCCACCCGCCGAAGTGCACCGCGATGAGCAGGGAGGGGGGGGGGACGGCGGGCCAGCGCGCAAGACGGCTGGGCCCTCACCGTCTCCCACGCGATCCCCTCCCTGCGCCGGAGCTGCGCCCAGCGCCCCGAGATCGCCTGCCGCCGGCGCTGACCACCTGAAAGGTGCCCTCCTCCGCGCCGCCGTACCCCTCGGAGTACTCGCGGAGCCAGTCCAGCGGCTTGTGGGCGTAGCAGTCGAAGTCGGCCGCACGGAAGCCCCGAGCGAGCCACGCGCCGCGCAGCGCCGCACGAGCCCGCCCCTCCGCGTCGGCCTCCACGACCGCAGCAGCACCAGCCGCCGAACCAGAAACGCCAGCGGTGGCCTCCGCTCCGCCCGCCGCGCTCGCCGCACCAGCGGCGGACGGCGCGGGCTCCGCGGGGGCCGCACGAACGAGACCATCGGCCCACTCGTCGTCCATCGCGTCGTCGGAGGCGGCCGAGGCCGCCACGGCTACCAGCTCGAGCCCGCGGCCCGCGCCAGCAGCCCCAGCGGCCGCCGCGGCACCGACCGCCGCCGCAGCGGGGGGCGCCGCGTCCTCCGACGGGACAGCATTCGCCCTGGCGGCCGCGCGCCGCGCAGCGCAGCGCTGACGGCGGCGGCGCCGCCGCGCAGCCCGCACCGCGGGGTCAGCGCCGCCTCCAGGCCGAGCAGACGCCGCGGGCGCCGCGGGAGCCGCAGGCGGCTCCGCAGCACCCCCAGCGGCCTCCGCGGCAGGCTGGCGAGACTTGGACGCCTCCAGCTCCGCCACAGCCGCGCGGCACAAGCCCTCGGCGGTGCGCAGCAAGCGGCAAGCCGCTGCTGCGCCCCGCGCGAGGCCCGTGGCCGCGTGCGTCGCCAGCGCCGCGCCGCGCGCGGCAGCCAGCGCGTTCTGGCGCTCCCGCAGCCCAGGCGCCATGTGCTCCAGGGACCGCGGCGGGCACGAGCGGTTTGGGAATGGCACGATGGCTCCTCCTCCTCCTCCTCCTCCTCCTCCTCCTCCTCCTCATCAGCAGCAGCAGCAGCAGCATCATTATCATCATCACCACCACCACCATAATCAGAATCATCATCATCATCATCATCATCATCATCATCATCATCATCATCATCATCATCATCATCATCATCATCATCATCATCATCATCATCATCATCATCATCATCATCATCATCATCATCATCATCATCATCAACATCATCATCTCATCATCATCATCATCATCATCATCATCATCATCATCATCATCATCATCATCATCATCATCATCATCATCATCATCATCATCATCATCATCATCATCATCATCATCATCATCATCATCATCATCATCATCCGCATCATCATCATATCATCATCATCATCATCATCATCATCATCATCATCATCATCATCATCATCATCATCATCATCATCATCATCATCATCATCATCATCATCATCATCATCATCATCATCATCATCATCATCATCATCATCATCATCATCATCATCATCATCATCATCATCATCATCATCATCTCTCTCCTCCTCCTCCTCCCTCCTCCTCCTCCTCCTCCTCCTCCTCCTCCTCATGCTCCTCCTCCTCCTCCTCCCCCTCCCCCTTCTCCCCCTCCTCCTCCTCCACCGCCTCCTCCTCCTCCTTCTCCTCCTCCTCCTCGGGTCGCCTACGGCCCCAGGGGAAACCGACCTCGTGGAAGCCGGGCGGCCGCGCGCGGATGCCCCGCTCGGAACGCATTCGTGGCTCGCGCATCGATGGGGATCCCGCCTCGATGTGCAGACCGCGAAGATGTGGACGCAGAGGAAGAGGGAACGACACGAACACAGACTCTCGGAGGTCCGCGCGGAGAGCTCCGAACATGTAGGTGTCTCGTGTTTTCGGCTTCTTCGAGGGAATGGATATTAGAGGCCTCCTAGATTGGGTCCGATTAGATGGGGTCGTAGGAGCTCGCCGCATCGCCGATGCATCAGCGGTGCATCGGCGATGCACTGGCGACGTCGGCGACGCATCAGCGATGTGGGCGTGGAGAAAATTGGGCCCCACTTCAAGCCGCATCGTCGATGCATCGCCGATGCATCGGCGGTGCGGCGCGATCCTCCGACCCCATCCGCTCCGACCCCATCTGGGAGGCCTAGAGATCTTCGCTCGAGCGGGGGGGAGAGGAGGACGAGGAGGAGGAGGAGGAGGAGGAAGAGGAGGAGGAGGAGGAGGAGGTGGAGGAGGAGGAGCAGGAGGAGGAGAAGGAGGAGGAGGAGGAGGAGGAGAAGGAGGAGAAGGAGGACGAAAGAAGAGGAGAACGAGGACGAGGAGGAGAGGAGGAGGAGGAGGAGGAGGAGGAGGAGGACGAGGAGGGAGGGAGAGGAGGGGGAGGAGGAGGAGGAGGAGGAGGAGGAGGAGGAGAAGGAGGAGGAGGAAGAGGAGGAAGAGGAGGAGGAGGAGGAGGACGAGGAGAAGGAGGACCCCCTCCTCCTCCTACTTTTGGTGGCGGCGGTGGTAAACAAGCCCACCAAGGGGGACGTGCGCGGGTCGGATGGCGGGCGGCTGCGAGCGGGTGAAGTGCCGGTCCTGGCCCCCCCAGGCGCCTGCGAGCACGTCGGCGTCGGCGGGCCAGCGCCGCATCAGCCTGTGCGGCAAGGGCCCCCGCACGCCAGCGGCGGGTGCGGGACCGGTCGGAGCCCTGCCACGAGGAGCACCGAATACAGTAGGGGCCCTTCCACAAGAAACCCAACCCTGAGACCCCAGGACGTCCATTGATTTTTGGCGTGGGAACGCCACGCGTTCCATAGCAACACCATCGAAATCTACGAAACCCAAGGCAACCTGGAGGCAAGCAGGGTGTTTCTTGGCATGGGCCTCAACTGTAAGTGCCAGAGCCCCTCTGTGGTCCCAAATGCGCCCAGGCTGAAGAGCGGAAGAAAAACAACAAAAATCCCGAGCCCCTGTCTGAACACGGGTGGTCCTCGCTCCAGCATTCTGACTGCGGGGCGGCGACGTGCTTTTCCACCGCCTCCTCCTCCTGCCCCGGCTCCTTGCCCCCCCTCTGCCCTCTGCCTGCTCCTCGTCCCTTGAGGTCGCGGGGCCAGCTGCTTCACAGGGGCGACCTGTCCAGGTCTAGATTGCTTCGCCCACGGGATCCGTAACGGGGAGCTGGAACTCCACACGATGCTTCGCGCAGGAGTTCTTGCGATCAAGACCAGCTGCTGAAGCCAGGGGAAGAGCTGCGATCATGTCTCGCAGCGGTGCTGTAGCGGGGGACACGAGTTCGATGAGGCATCGCACGCTTGGGCCAACAGTCTTGATTATGAGGACGCCTCATGCGGCGGGGACAGCAAGAGCGCACCTCGTCCACGGGAGTGGGCGTCAGACCTTTCTGCTTAGCGTTAGGTTGGGCATGTCCTCCCACAGGCGGCTATTGGGCGAAACATTAGAAATGGTCCAAGCGTGTTCAAACACAGTCAACCAATAATCGCAAGATCGTCCCCAGAGGGACAGCCCGACTTCAATTTAGCGGGGTGGCCAGCGGAGCGAGTCGGCAACGGCAGAGGCGACGGCCGCGGCCGCGGGCGGAGCGACTCGCAGAGCGCCGCCACCGCGCCCTCCTGTTGGGGGGCGCCGCAAGCCGTAATCCGCGCAAGGTGCGTTCATGTCCCTGGGCTTGGTCAACAACTACTCAATCATATTTAAAATGATGATAGAAAGATCGTCCCGTGACTATTGTTGGACAATGTTTGAATATTCCTCCTGTTGAGGGACAGGCCCGACTCAACTCTGGGCCCCACCCGCGCTGTTCGGCGGGCCCCGACACACGAGGCCAACCCCCAAACCAGCTGTGTGCAAATGGAGCGCCATTTGGCGGCGCGCAGGGGGGGGGCAAGGGGAGGGGGAAGGCTTCTTAGAAGGAGGCTGCTTCTTAGAAGGCGCCGGCCTTCCATCTACAGACAAGGCCCGCGCCTTCTATCGGGGGCGCGCAGACGTGGATTAGCGATCTTTGGATTTGGCGCGCGGTCGCCAAATCCTTGGATCGGAGGAAATGCCGTCCCCAAAATGTGGTCCGTGCCGCCTCGCTCGGCGGCAGAAATCTACGATTTCCCAGGGAAACGCGACCCGTCGCTAATCCACGTCCCCTTGATCCATGTTTGCGATCGCCTGCTTCTAAGACGCAGTGGTGCTCCTAAGAACCCTTCCCCCCTCCCCCTACCCCCCTCCGCGCGTGGCCGAGCCATGACCTCGACCGGGATTGTGTGAGAGAACTGGAGGTCGCAAGCGGCTTGCAAACCTACTCTTCTTCTCTTGAATTATGCGAAGAGTCCACTGAAATCCGCCTACGAGGCCTCTAGGCATCTGCCGCAAAATTCTGACTGCGTCGGGTTCCGCCAGGCTTTTAGCGGAAGGCGTGGGCAACGCCCCCAGACCTCCGACGTCACAATTCTCTCCAATCAATGCGTGCACTGAAGAGGCCCTCGCGGAGATTGGAGGACTTGGCGGAGGTCCTGAGTTCATTTCCGTGGGCGGCTGGGTTCCCAAGTTCCCTGTTCCAGGTTCCCGGGTTCCCGATTCCGGGTTCCGGGCCGATTTCGGTGGGCGCCTGGGTTTCTTGGGTTATCAATTCCTGGCTCCGGGGTTCCAAGCAATGGAAGGTCGGCTGGGTTCGCGGGTTCCCGTTCCTGGCAACACAAGGTTGGCTGGGTTACCGGTTACCGGTTCCATGGTTCCCGACAATGTACAATTGGCTAGGTTCCTGGGTTCCCGGTTCGGTGGGCGGCTGGGTTCCCAGGCTCCCTGTTCCCGATTCCTGGGTCCCTGGCAGTGTAATGTTTGGTGGGTTTCTGGCTCCCCCTTTTCCCGTCCTTGGTTTCCTGGCAGCGTAAGGTTCTTGGGTTCTGAATGCCTTGGTTGTGGCCAAGTGCTTGGGTCTGTGATTGTCAAGAGTATATATACATATGGGTCAGAAAGTTGCGAGCAGATCTGATCAGAGGGATTGGACATATATATATATATACATATATACATATATGTATATATCTTTATATATATATATAGAGAGAGAGAGAGAAAAAAGGAAAGAGAACATACTTACGAACACTGTGATATACCATATCGAAGGATGGATGGGGAGGTCAAAGCGAGACGGTATACAGCACATATCGAATACAGACAGCAGATGGCGAAGTTGGGTATAGAGAGAGAGAGAGAGAAGAGAGAGACAGAGAGAGAGAGAAGTACATGAAGAGAGAGAGAGAGAGAGAGAGCGAGGAAGAGCGAGGAACAAAGCAATGAGACAGACACACATTAACATTGATTTCATATGTCGGAGGTTGGGGGGTGAGTCCGACGTGAAACGAGACCCCCCTACCGGGAAATCGATTTGGGTTTCGGGTTCGTGTCGTGCGTGCCGTGCGTGCGTGCAGGCGAGGCGAAGCTGCGTGGGCGGGCGAGAGGAAATCCTCCTGTGGCTGGGCCGCGGCCGGACCAAATGATTCTCCTCTGGCGGCCGGTGGCTCGCGGTGTCCCGCCGGTCCCGCTGGTGTCCCGAAATCCTCCTGTGGCTGGGCCGCGGCCGGACCAAATGATTCTCCTCCGGCGGCCGGTGGCGCACGGTGTCCCGCCGGTGTCCCGCTCGTGTCCCGTGGTGTCCGCCGCTGCTAAAGCGAAGTCAAGACAAATGATTATCCCCCGCCCGCCCGTCCGGCGGTGGCTCGCGGTGTTCCGCGGTGTCCCGACGTGTCCCGTGGTGTCCCGTGGTGTCCCAAAAAGTGAGATCGATGGTGAGATCGACAGGTGTCCCGTGGTGTCCCGTTGAATGAGATCGATATTGAGATCAATATTGAGATCGATACTGAACTCGATGTGGTGCCCCGAGGTGTCTCGTGGTGTCCCAAAAAGTGAGATCGATAGTGATATCGATACTGAGATCGACAGGTGTCCCGTGGTGTCCCGTGGTGTCCCGTTGGGTGAGATCGATAGTGAGATCGATGTGAAGTCCCGAGGTGTCCCGTTGTGTCCTATGGTGGCCCGTTGGGTGAGATCGATAATGAGATCGATAGTGAGACCGATAGTGAGATAGAGAGGTGTCCCGCGGTGTCCCGTTGAGTGAGATCGATAGTGAGATCGACAAATGTCCCGTGGTGCCCCGTGGTGTCCCGTTGAATGAGATCGTTCGTGAGATCGATTTAGTCAGATGTTGGTTCCCCCCCCCTCTCCCCCCCCACAACCTCCTTTTCACCCGAAGGGCGGTCGTATAGGTATATACACATATATACACATACTAGAACCATCGCGCGCGTTTCGCGCGCGCTCAAGTTCTAGCTAGGCTTGATGGGCTAAACCATGGAATATCATGTTTGTCGCTTCTTGCATCCAGGGACTCTCTTGGAGGCCCTGCACAAGCCTCGGAACCGTATGGGAAGGGAACTGCGGAAAAGCGGAAATCATTACTTCCCGTCAGGTATTCAACGATTTGTTTGGGGCCCTCAAAGCCTTCCCGGTTTCTTCTCTGGGAGCTGAGGGGGGCAGTAAGTGTGGTCTATTGCGCAAGAGTGGACAGGGGGACAACTGGACAAACAAACGAATTGTGGGATCTGTGGGTTAGAAATGTTCTAGATACAGGCCACGGTCCGTTGGGATGCCTCTCGGGACCTTCGTGCAACAATAAGAATGTGGTGAGTTTGAAATGAAAGGAATTTAAATGTTCCGACTCATGGGATCATGGGATCTGGATTTCTATGGTGGTTTCAGGGGAAGCCAAAAGGACGCGAAGACGATCCAAGAGAGTGCCAAGACAGCGTCAGAGAGTTCAACAATATTCCCGACACATCTTTGCATGTGATTCCGAAGTCTTCATGGGGCTCGAGGAAGAGGATAGGGAGTAGGAGCCCCAACTTGAAAAACATAATTTCTGAAATCATCATTTTTCAAGTTCCTCGGCCTTTGAGCGTTGGAAGCGGGAAAACCTGAGAAGGCGAAAAACGCAGACAAAACCACTGGAAAGCTCTCGAAGCTCTCTTGGGCTGTTTTGGGGGCCTCGTCGGGGCTTCCTGGGGGGCCTCTCAGGGGTCTGGGGTGTGTTGAAGGCCTCTGGAGGGTCGCGGAGTCCTCTCGGAGGTCTCTGGAGGCCTCCTGCTCCCGCTCTTGGGCTCATCTTGGGCCTGTTCCGGGGTGGTCTGGAGCTGTCCTGGGCGCCTCTTCGGCAGTCTTGGGGCCGTCTTGGCCCTTCTTAGGGCCGTCTTGGGGGCCTCTTGAGCGGTCTTGGGGCGGTCTTGGGTCTTGGGGGCCTCTTCGGCCGTGTTGGAGCGTTGGAATCATGAAATGAGAAAGCCAAAAACAATGAAAAACAATGACAATTCACAATTTTACGTTCTCCGGGCGCTCTCGGGAGGCCTCTCGGAGCTCTCTTGAGGTCTCTTGGAGGCCTCCTGGGAGCCTGGAGAGCCGCCCGAAAGGTATCCTGGGTTGCTTGGGAGCGTCTTGGGCCGTTCTTTTACGTTCTGGGGGCTTCTTGGGGTCGTCTTGGGCTGTCTTAGGGCATTTGGGGGGCTCCCCGGGAGGCCGGGAAACGCGGTACCGGGAGCGTAACCCACATGTGATCGAGTTGGAGGACGCCCCGGGAGGGGGCCCGGCCTATTTGTTTTTGTTATATACACACATACATGTGCATGGAGCTGAGAGCATGTCTGTAAGGATCTGTGGAAACAAGTGCAGAGCGAGGTGTGAGGGCAAGTCAAGTTAAGCAGATCCCCTAGGTATATGAAACATACACCATCGAACACATAGAGAAGATAGAGCTATGCAGAGAAAGAGAGAGAGAGAGAGAGAGAGAGAGACAAACAAAAAAAGAAAACACACAAAAAGGAAAGGGCAGGCGTGGCCTGCATGCGGACTATCTAAGACATATACTGATTTTTGGGGGTTCTCTCCAGTGTGATTTAATTGTCGTGGCACTTGGACCTCTCGACCTGGTTCCCAAAGGGCTTGCTCATCCCGTGCCCGTGTTTGCACGGCCCCAGAAGCCTTACATGGGCCCGTGGATGCTGAACGCTCATAGCGAAATCGGCCGTCTCGGACCTCCCCATGAGGCGCGCACCGACCACAACTCCGAGGCGAATCCAGCACTGGTGACGAAGTCCTCCGAGGAGGCCGCAGCCCCACCCTCCAGAACTGGGGAAACAAACAATGGCATAAATATAAAAACTCTGAGGTCCGCGCGGATTTCTCGGATCGGCGTTGGACCCCCCTCCTTGGCGCGCAGAGCGCGCCAGGGGCGGCGCCAGAGGCGCTGCCAGAGGTCTCCAGCGCCGATCCGAGAAATCCGCGCAGACCTCCGAGTTGTTATATTTCCCTACCTAGGCTCTGCCTAGAAGGGTTCTTACTCGCTTGGCTTAAAGGGGCCGGGCAGTGCAAACGCCCCGGGCGGTTCCCCCAGTCCCCTGGGAGCCAAGCAAAAGCAACAGCAAAGGTAAAAGCAAACGCGCGGTTCCCCCAGTTGCGCTCCCTGGGTGCCAAGCAAAAGCAAAAGCAAAGGCAATCGTGAAGGCAAAAACGAAGGCAAAGCAAACGCATAGCATAGCATAGCATAGCATAGCATAACGCAGCATAGCATAGCGCAGCATAGCATAGCATAGCATAACATAGCCTAGCCTAGCCCAGCATAGCATTGCGCAGCATATATTAGCATATCATAGCATAGCATAGCGCAGCACAGCATCCACTATAGAACTCCCCAATGCCCGCCCTCATCTCCGTGCCTGCTTGCTTTTGCTGCTGTCTCGGCGACTTGCTGCCTGCTTCTGCTGCTGCTTCACTTATGGCGTGGCGTCGGCGGTTCGGGCGCCACTACTACTACTACTACTACTACTACTACTACTACTACTACTACTACTACTACTACTACTACTACTACTACTACTACTAGTACTACTACTACTAGTACCACTACTACTACTACTACTACTACTACTGCTGCTACTACTTCTACTACTACTAGCTACTACTACTACTACTACTACTACTACTACTACTAACTACTACTACTACGACTACTACTACTACACTACTACTACTACTACTACTACTACTACTACTACTACTACTACTACTACTACTACTAGACTACGAGTACGAGTTACGCGTACTACTAATTACTACTACTAATACTACTGCTGCTACTACTACTACTACTACTACTACTACTACTACGACACTACTACTACTACTACTACTACTACTACTACTTACTACTACTACTACTACTACTACTACTACTACTACTACTACTACTACTACTACGACTACTACTACTACTACTACTACTACTACTACTACTACTACTACTACTACTACTACTAGCTACTACTACTACTACTGTACTAGTAGTACTAGTACTACTACTACTACTACTACTACTACTACTACTACTACTACTACTACTACTACTACTACGACGACGACGACGACGACGACGACGACGACGACGACGACGACGACGACGACGACGACGACGACGACGACGACGACGACGACGACGACGACGACGACGACGACGACGACGACGACGACGACGACGACTACTACTACTACTACTACTACTACTACTACTACTACTACTACCGCTACTGCTACAACTACGACGATGAGGAGAAGGAGGAGGACGGCGTTTACCGCTCCTACTAATGCTGCTTTCCTAGAGGATCCAACTCCTAGGTAGGGTCGCACTGGGATATGGGTCATTCTTCTTTCTCCGCCCCCCTCCTCCAGAACGAGCGCACCTCGAGCGTTCGCGGCGTTTTGCAGCTCCCCGGTCCTCGCGCGCCAGGAGCGCCGCCAGGGCGGCGCCCTGCAGGGCGCGGGGGGCTGTCGGCAGAAGCGCGGTATCGACCGACGACGCGGACCGCCCCGCAGTCGAGGGCACATGAGTCGCGATCATAGAGGGTAGAACATCCAGCCCCATAATGGTCACCCCGACACGCAAAGCCGTTTAGTAAACGCACCCGAAGAAGGAATCGAACAGGGCGGGGCTGTTGAGTAAACGTCCAGGGCCGTTTATCAAACGCCAATTATCGGGTCCAGGTGTTTTTTCCTCCCTTGAGGTCACGCCCGTGACCAGCCCCTTCCCCTCCACTCCCCCCCCCCCCGGTCACGTCACGATTCGCGCTGGCGCTGTGTGGGAATTGACAATCCCTAAGCATTCCCAGACGCGCTGGCGCGAATCGTGACGTGACTGGGCCCCTTTCCCCCCCCTCGCCCCTTGTCACGCCCGCTACCGCCAGGGGAGAAACAAATACGTTCGTCAATCGCGGATTCACCAAAGTGAAGCGTGGTTAGTCTCCTTGCCCCCCCTCGCTCCGCAGTTGATGCTCCGCGTTGCGCTGTATCCTCTGCCCCCTTGCTTCCTCCGCAACTGTTCGGGTCACAGGGGGGACCGCTTGTCTTTCACTTCCAAGTCATACTTTCGAACGTCCTCCCCATCCCTTCCCTAGCAGCACCCGTGGCGGAAGGCGCAACTCCAGGAGCGCCAGTCTCTCCAGCGGCCGGCCTCGACCCGGTCGCGCAGGCAGCGGCGGCCTTGAGTGCCGCTCCGGCTGCAGCAAATCCACTTTCAGGAGTAACGACTTTGGGCACCGTCAAGGAAACACTCGCCGCTTGTGGGGCGCAGGCTTGTGCCCTCACAGAGGAGGCGTCTTGGACCCGTCTGACAGAAGCCTTCGGCAAGTGTGGCTACAACGATGCCGATGCCGGGGAGTTGCTTCAGGACATCGGCAACATGGGCAACAGGGCCTTCCTTCGCAGCCTGCCCGGGGACCTCGGGCCTCGGGGCACAGCAATCATCCACGCACTCTTGGTGGCCATGCCGGCGAGAGGGCCCTCAGCCAGGCCCGCCTCCGAGGCCGCCCTGGCAGGTGCTGTGGTGTCCCCGTTCGACGGCCCGCCGGGCAGCTGGGCTGAGCCCGGGGCCGCCAGGCGGTTGGACAGGGGCTTCGCCTTTGCACCCTCCCGCCGGCCAGGCTGCTGCCAGCAACAACCTCTTCCTCGGGCAAGTCGTCGCGGCGGCTGTGCGGCAGGACGCCAAAGCGCTCGAGGACCTGACGGCGCAGCACGACCAACTCCGAAAGTTGGTGCAGTCCGACGGCCAAGGAGAACCGCTTCGCAGCCTCGAGCCTGGCGAGTCCTCCCTGCGTGCCACCGCCGCGGCGCGCAAGGCCGGGCGGTTCCTCCAAACATCTTCGCCCAAGGTTGAGGACGTGGCCCGCCTACAGCGCCCGCTGGCGCAAACCCTCTGCCAAGAGTTGCCGAAAGTTCGGGCCGCTGCCCTTGAAGGCCGCGCCTCCTGGGGCGACGCCCTCAACTGGGTCGGCCAGGCCGCCGCCGCCGCCGCGGCAGACAACTCCATTCCGCCGGGGCAGGCCGAGAGGCCGTCGGCGTTCTACGCTGCGTGCCTCCTCTGGGAGGCATGCACGGCCAGCAAGCGCGGGAGCAGCGACGCCGAGGGGCGGGAGAACGTGGCCCGCGTGCTAGGAGAGATGAACTGGTCTCTCCTGTCGCGCTGCCAGGCCGAGGTCGGGGCAGAGGCCGGGCAGCAGCGCGGGGCTGCTGGCGCGGGGCCGGCCGCCGCTGCGGCCGGGCAGGGCGACCGCCGGCAGACGACGCCCTTCCCCTGCCGGCGGTTCCTTCTCGGAAACTGCGCGAGCGGGAACAGGTGCACGCACCGGCACGGCTGCCCGTTCTGCTGCACCACGGGCCCCGAGTCCAGGAGGTGCTTCCTCTCGTACCTCGAGGCCAACGGCAGGGAATTCCTCCGGAGGGACAGCGCCGCCGGGGGCCGCGAGCAGCCGAACCACAAGAGAACTTCCACAAGAAGCCCAACCCTGAGACCCCAGGACGTCCATTGGTTTTCGGTGTGGGAAGGTTGCGCTTTCCATCGCAAGACCATCGAAACCCAGGGCGCACCCTGGAGGCAAGCAGTGTGTTTCTTGGCATGGGCCCCCACTGTACGAAATCTAGATCCTCGAACGAAGACGACGGCAACCAGCTCCGCTCAGCTCGGCTTCGCGGGGGTGGCCTTTGCCAAGGGCGACCTCGAGTGCGCTGCCCTTCGGGTGCGCGCCGCCCCGAGAGCCTCCAGACGCCACTGGAGGTCTGGGAGGGGCGCCCCTGGATCGGCGACTCCGAAGGGTGTGGCTTGCAAAGGGTGTGGCTTGCAACCGGCACCCTCGGGGGCACCCGGAGGCGGGCTGGGACCTCGTCAGAGCTGTCCGCCGCGCCCCGAGGAGGCCCGACGAGGACGGTGTCGTGCTCCCTAGGCTTAAACGGTGCCGATCGCGGCATGTCCCCCTACAGGCGGATTTTGGACGAAAAATAAAACTACTCGAAACATACTCAAACATAGTCAAACATATGAGACAAATCGTCCCCATAATATTCTCTGACTATTATTGAACAACCCTCCTGTAGCGGGACATGCCCGACTTAACCCTGGCGCAACCATACCCTCTGTAGTCGCCGACCTGGACACCACCTCCAGCCCAGCACCGCAGAGGCCACCCTGCGCGTTGTGCGCATGCAGCCCCTCGCTCCGCCAGGAGGGCGAGCATGGGGGGGGAGGTTGGGCCGAGGGACCGGCAGAGGGTGGGAGCGAAGGGGAAGGGTCCGAGGGAATGGCTCTCGGGGGGGGGGGGGACCAACATCGAGCTGGAAGGGCCCTCTATCGGTAATGCGTGTGGGCGACTGGGGGCCGATGCGTCTCCCCCTGGGCCTATATTTAGGTCGGGCATGTCCTCCTACGGGCTGATTTTGGACGACAAGTAAAACAGCATGCAAAACGAATGTTCAACATTACTAGAACCGTCGTCCTCAGACTATTTTTTCAACTATCTTCGGATATTCCTCTTGTAGAGGGAGACGCCCGACTTTCAGCCTATGTTGGGGGATGTGCAAGAGGAGCGGCAGAGGATGGCGGGCAGGAGGACTGGACCAGGATGTCGGACTCTCGGGTCCGCACGGCAGGTCCGTGCCGTGTCGACCCCGGCGTTGGTTGCCGACACCGCGTGCATCGTTCAACCCTGAACGATCGGCGGCCTTTCGATCGCCCGATCGTTCCATATAGGCTTACGTCGGGCATGTCCCCCAACAGGCGGATGTTGGACGAAAAGTAACAGATAGTCCCAAAATATTCCCGAATGGTCAAGAATACAACAACAAGTCGTCCCCAGACTATTGTTGGACTATTTTTTAAGATTCCTCCTGTAGAGGGACGTGCCCGGCTTGGATATAGGCCGGCGTTCAACCTTGAACGCCGTTGGCGGGGTCGCCGCCAGTCGACACGACGCGAACCCACCGTACCTCGGGCCTCCGGCGGCGGATCGAGAAGATCTGGGCATCCCTGGGAAGCTCTCGACGAGGCTGATGGAAGGCGACCCGAGGCGAGAAAACCTCCAAGAGCCGACGACACTGCAAAACTCACAAAAAAGATGCCGACGACAAGAAGGTCTGGGCCAGGAGGGGCGAGGCCCTCCCGCGGGCGACGGGGCCAGGCAAACAAAAAACTGCAGAAGCATGAACTTTTGGAACTTCGAACCGCGCGGACCGTTGAACATGTACGGTCAAACGGGATATTTCGCAAGGATGTGCGGTGAGGACGCCAGGGCCCTGGAAGGACATGCCGACACTTTGCGGGCGGGGCGCGGCCAGCGAAAGTGGCCGAAGATGGGCCGAAGGGGAAGGATGCAAGGGGAAGGATGCAAGGGTACTCCGAGTTTCTTAATAAGCGTCGGGGGGGCGTCACCCTCGCCGACAGTCGTCCCACATCGACCCCCGTCTCGGGCAGCCACCGCGCGCCTAGCTCCGACCCCCGTCGTGGCGTGACGACGAGGCGAGGTTGATCCCCGTCGGGGGGGTACCCCCCACGCTAATTTAGAAATCTGGAGCAACCTTGGAACAGCGCTCGTCCTTACGGTTGACTGTATATATTTGTGCCAACTTGATGCAACTGTTACTCTCTTTGAGAGGCACCCGCGACTCCTCCTCCGACTCCTACTCCTCCTCCTCCTCCTCTTCCTCCTCCTCCTCCTCCTCCTCCTCCTCCTCCTCCTCCTCCACTCCTCGTCCTCGTCCTCGTTCCCGCGCTGGCCGCCTCGGGGTCCCCGCTGGCGCAGCACAGGCCCACGGCCCTGCAAGCCTCGCGCGCCACGGCCAGCTCCGCGCCCCCCGGGCTCCCTGCGCGCGGCCCACGGACCGCCGCGGGGGGGGGTCGCACGGCCCGGCTCGGGGGGCCGAAAGGCCCCGGATGGGGGCCCCGAGACGGCCCCGAGGCTCCCAGAACGGCAGCAGGCCCAGATCAATGAGGATGTGTTTTTTCAAGCCGGGCGATTTTCTTAGATTTCGGACTCCAGGGCCCGTTATCGGGCCCCGGGACAATAAAGAAAACGGACCCGGGGCGACAAACTGCCCCCGGGGAAGGGGTTGAAACTTTGCGGAGCCGCGAGTTGAAAACTCAACGTCGAGGGATTTATGGGGAGGGCCCCAAGAAGGCCTGGGGGTGAGGGGGTGAAGGGCGAGGGGAGGGGGAGGAAAGGGGTGGGGGGGGCGGTCGGGCCGGGGGTGGGTGGGCATCCTAGAGGACCTCCCCGCGTCGTCCAAGAATCACGACTTAGAACAGATTTCTCGGGACACGTTTCCGGCTCACACAGCCTGCGCCGGGGATTTTTCCCGGATAGCTCCTTGGAGAGCTACAAGGGTTTCAGATTAAGAGGCCGGAGCCGCAATGTAGCCGCGGAGATTGTTCCGGCTTCCGTTTTCCAGTGCCGCCGCGGGATGCTTGAACTTACAGCGTGTCCCGAGAGGCCTTTTCCAAGCGTTTCCCAATTCGCGTGCCCGGGAGCTCTCCAGAGGGTCCTTCAGACGCTCTCTCCAGGTCCTGCCAAAGTTCTTCGCCGCTCCCTGCTATCCGGTTTACCCCACAAATTCACAGGAATCGGAACGACCTTCGGGGCTGCCCTGCAGGATTTTTCTGGGGCCTCCGTGGGCTCTCACTGGGCCCCAGGACTGCCAAAAAACGGCCCGCGAGTCGATGGCAATCCTGGGGCAACGCTCTCTGCGGACAAGCTCTTTATCTTGCCAAATGATACGCCGCTCTGGGGTAAATGGTGCACACTTCCAGGGGGAAAGGAGGGAGTGGGGGGGGCATGAGTGCGCGGAAGAAGGAGGAGGAGGAGGAGGAGGAGGAGGAGGAGGAGGAGGAGGAGGAGGAGGAGGATAGGAGGAGGCGGAGGAGGAGGAGGAGGAGGAGGAGGAGGAGGAGGAGGAGGAGGAGGAGGAGGAGAGGAGGAGGAGGAGGAGGAGGAGGAGGGAGGAGGAGGGGAGGAGGATGGAGGAGGAGGAGGAGGAGGAGGAGGAGGAGGAGGAGGAGGAGGAGAGGAGGAGGAGGGGGGAGGAGGAGGAGGAGGAGGAGGAGGAAAGGAGGAGGAGGAGGAGGATGAGGAGGGGAGGAGAGGAGGAGGAGGAGGAGGAGGAGGAGGAGGAGGAGGAGGAGGAGGAGGAGGATGGGGAGGAGGACGAGGGGGAGGAGGGGGAGGGGGAGGGGGAGGGGGAGGGGGGAGGGGGAGGAGGAGGAGGAGGAGGAGGAGGAGGAGGAGGAGGAGGAGGGGAGAGGAGGAGGAGGAGGAGGAGGAGGAGGAGGGGAGGGAGGAGGAGGTGGAGGAGGAGGAGGAGGAGGAGGAGGAGGAGGAGGAGGGAGGAGGAGGATACTATCTCCTGGCGCAGCCGCGGAGGAGGAGGAGGAGGAGGATACTATCTCCTGGCGCAGCCGCTCGTCCAAGCGAGGAGGAGGAGGAGGAGGAGGAGGAGGAGGAGGAGGAGGAGGAGGAGGAGGAGGGAGGACGAGGAGGAGGAGGAGAAGGAGGAGCAGGAGGAGGAGGAGGAGGACTTCCTCATCCTTCTTTCTCGCCCGTCCTACCTATGGTAGTGGTGGTGGAAAACTGGCCCAGCAGACATCGCCGCCCACGCGGTCGGCAGAGCCAGCTCCAACTCGTCGAGCCGCTGGAATTCCACAGCGATGGAACCCTGCCCGTTCCCGAGAGGTCCTCCTCTCGGCCAGCCTGCTGAGCACCGCCCGGCCCTTCTTGGACGGCTCCCCGCTGGCCTGGCGGAAGGAACCGGATCGGGCCGCCCCTGTGACCCCGCAGACCAGGCAGGCCACCACCGCCAGGTCTCTGACCATGCTAGAGGCCTTCTAGATGGTGTCCGAGTAGATGGGGTCGGAGGACCTCGCAACATCGCCGATACCTCGGCGATGCATCGCCGATGCATCGGCGATACACCGGCGACATCGGCGATACATCAGCGACGTCGGCGCGGAGAACATTGGCCCCCACATCGAGCCGCATCGCCGATGTATCGCCGATGCATCGGCGATGCGGCGCGATCCTCCGACTCCATCTACTCCGACCCCATCTAGGAGGCCTAGACTTTCACACGTCCTTGCGAGGCTTGACAGTGACCAAGCCGTGTGCTGCCATGCCGTCCTCCTCAGGCGCGAGTTGGTAGCCACCGCGGTCGGAATAATGGGGCCAAGGCGCTCACTGCGCCGCTCTGACCACCTGCGCCGCTCGCACCACTTGGCGCCTGCAGCTCCACGAAGAACGCACTCCAGCTTCGCCGCAACGGGCGATATAAACTTCTTGGGGGTTGATTTGTTGGGCTTGGACACGCGGTGGCTCGTTCCGCACCACCGACCGCCGCGCCCACGCTCTCGACCATCTTGCTGGCGGCCTGGAGCCGCTGCTGTGTAGGAAGGCCCTGCCTGATATGTGCGGCTGCGCTCCTGGCAGCTCTGTCAGCGAGGTGGTTGCCGCACCAATCGCGGTAGCTGATCTGGCCTTCGGCAACCTGACGGCCGGTCTGATGAGCAGGCACCCTTCGGAGCAGCGGCCCGTGCTCACCAAGGCCTGCGAACTCGTCCGGCAGCCTCCACAACAGTCGCCACAAGTGCGACCACACGTACGCGTACATAGTGGTCTTGTCACGGCCGACCTCCATCACGTCCAGGAAAAAGAAGCTGCTGTCCACCACCGCCGTCGCTGGTGGAGTGCCAAGCGGCAACACCGCGATGAAGGCAAACAGCTCGCCGCGGTTGATGCCCATGAACGCGCTGTCCATCATAGCCGAGATCCACATGAAAACACCTCAACATGGGTGTGCAACGCCACAACCGACCAACCGACACGGGCGTAACGCTCGCGATCGCCCTCATACCGCGACCCGTCCAAGAGCAGCTCACCTGAGTGAGGACAACCATGACGATGTCCCATCCAACACATCTGATTGATACATTATTTTGCCGAGATGGCTGCGGGCAGGCGCCGCACATGTTCGATATCTCTGCAGCCCTCCTCGAACTCGCCTGTTGTCCCCAGCGCGCTCGGCCGAAAACGCCTGCCGCCCGGGGCTCAGCCAGCCCCCATCAGAAGGTAGTGGAGCGTGGGGTCCACGGCCAGCCAGCGTGCCGACACGGCCGCCCCGGGCCCCACTCAGGACGCACCTCGGGCGCTCCCCAGCCAGGAGCGCCTCGCCGATACGCGGCGCCCGGTCACGGTCGCAGCCGCTGAAGCCACCAATCTCACTGGGCACCGGGATCTGCGCCGCCAGAGCCCTCAGGTGCTTGCCGGACTCGAAGGCGAAGCCGCAGGTCTTCAGGTGCTTCTCGATGTCCACGCGCGAGAGCTCCTTGGTCCCGAGGTCCGCCGGGTTGGGCTCCCCCGGCGTGTTCCGAACGTCGATATCCTTCCTCGCGCGCTTCTCCTGCACCCGCAGCGAAGGAGTGTGCATGCAGGTGCCTGATGCGTCCGATGCCGCGCCTGCCGAAGATGCCCTTCGCGGCGCTGCTGTCGATCCGCGTGCGTCGCAGGGCACAGCGTCATGCCGAGGTCTGCGCAGAGCGAGCGCACACCTAGGGCAACTGAGGTGCCCTTCGCCCCGGCCGTGAACTCCGCCTCGCCGCTGGACAGCGCTGTCGCGCCCTGGGTGCTCACCGTGCTCTTCAAAAGGTGAGAGCCGACGAACACGAAGAGGGAACTCGCACTCTTGCGATCTATTACGCCGCCAGCCCAGTCGGAGTCGCAGTAGACGTCGATGTGCTTGCCCTCGTAGTGCTGCTCAATGAAGCTCTGCACGCATCGGGGCTCTCCCTTCAGGAAACGAGCGACCCTCTTAAGCCGGCCAGTCCGCCAATAGTGGGTACCGCCATGTGCTTGTAACACTTGTTAGCCACATACTGCAAGTGGGGCGCGTCCTGGGCGAGGAAGCCGAGCCGCACATGCACAAGGACCTGTGCGCCCTCGTCTCCTCGTAGCCCTGCAGCGGAGCCTCATCGTAGTAGGGCGCGCCCTTCTCTGTTGGCGTCGTCGCCGCCCTGGAGCCAGCGCCGCCCAAGCCGAGTTCATGAGCGAGTATCTGCGTGTGACGAGGGTCAGGCTCCATGGTGACCCTGCTCTCGGTGGCGACGTCGCCGTCGACGTAAGAGATGGGCCGATTCAGGATCGTCGCGTGCTTGTCGCCCGAGGGGTCTGGACCGAGGGGCGCCTTCCTCTGCGCCAGCATGTGCTTCCGCAGCTCGGCCTCCATCGCGTCGAGCTGCCGCTCCTCGCCCTCGAAGACGAAGTCGTCGCCATGCACCGCCCCGGACGAGGATCCGTCGGAGTTGGTGAAGGCGCAGGGGCAGGACATGCCTGCCTTGTAGCCGGCCAGGGCCAGCTTCTCCTGGCGGTACTCCTCCCAGCCGGCAGCCGCGTCCCTCGCGCCGTGCGTCATGCGGAGCAGTAGGCCCACTCCGCCACCGTTCTCAGGAGGGATGTGGATAAACAACTTGTGCTTGGCCGGCGGGTGGAAGTGAGCCCTCGAGATGTCCAGGATGAGAACCTTCTTCTTCTTCTTCTTGAAGTCGCCGTTGGGGTTCGTGGTCTTCGTCTTGGCCTAGCTCAGTGTCATCTTGGTGCCTTCCCACGGCGGAGTGCCAGCAAAAGTGTCCTCGAGCCACGGGTTCGTCCACTTGTGCTCCTTCGCGCGCAGCCGCGACCTCGCGGTCGCGTTCTCGCAGCCGCCCCTGTTGACGTCCAACCACCTGGCATCGACGATCTCGCGGCCGTCCGCCTCGGAGACGTCCGCGTGCTTATAGACGGGGGAGCCGTGGAGAAACTCGACCTCCGCCTTGCGCGCGGCGG